CTCTTCTTCCTCTTAACCCTCTCCCACCCCTCATCAACTGAATCCCCTTCAGCAGGAGAAGAGACATGGGATATGGACACCCACTTCCTCAGCTCCATGCCCATACAGCACCCCCACACTCTCCTAACCACATTTGCGCTGTCGGAGGACAGGTACCAGAGGTAGAGTAGGCCGAGAGTGAAGATCCGCTAAACCTGTCCCCCCAGCAGCTTCCGCTTGTCTGGAGGATCTACGTACAGTAGGATTAGGAACAAGGGGGACATACTAAGGGATGACATTACTAGGGTAAACAGAATCTGACCCAACAAACGGAACAGACACAGGAGGGGCAACAACAGTTTCCTCCCTAGCATCAGCTGCCTCATCTTCTTTATCCAATCTTTAGAGCTCAGCCTCCAATCCGTTCAGGTTATGTAGTGCCTCTGGGTACTGACTATATGGAAGACCCAGCTGCTGGCAAAATTGCACCGAATCTGAGTGCATTCTTTGGCCAAATCCTGGCACAGTGAGCATTTTTTGATGGTGCAGGACGATGCAAAGTGGCCTCTCTACATTTATTACAAACCTTAGGCTGACCCTGATAGAAAATGGTCAGCCTACCCCTCCCCAGAAGGGCAATTACAGCGACACTGTCCAAGCCCCTGTCCACATCCCATGCTTTTCAAGGACCTTTTGCAGCGGGTTGAGGACCTCGCCATATCGGTGCAGCCACACTACCAAATCAGCCTCTGGTATTGATTCATTACGGACCAGGATCATCACCAATTTTATCAAAGGCTGCCTTGAAACCACATTTGGCACAAAACCTCTCCACTGCTGAAGGCCTCTATACCTCTTCCAAAACATTTCCAGACCTTCAGGTTTTACAGATGATACATTATATTCATAATTGCCAACTGGGCAGATCAAAGCAAAAACATCAGAGGCTTTAAACCCCATCTCCAAAATCCTTTTTGAATCCTCAAAACAGAAGCATAGCTCCCCACATTCCTTCAAGCAGCAAAACATTTATGTGTTTGGATGTATCTGATACAACTCTAGCAGATAACGATTGCACATATTCGAGATTGGATGGTGAATCCTCTCTCTCTGCTGAGCAGGGGGAGAGAAATGTCATTCTTAGCAACATTAACCCCCTCACCAACACATCCATTCCTTTGCAAAATTGCCATTTATATTATTTGCTGACACATTCATAGTCTTCACAGCAGTGTCCGTACTCACTGCTGTAGTAATAGAAACATCAGCTCCAACAGGTCTCTTCTCCAGGACAGGGCTTTCAGATTGGGAAAGTGCAGGCTGTTCAGACACAGCAAAAGGTGAAGTATCACTGACAAAGGAGAAAGCCATGGCTGTTTGCTCTCCACATGGTGCACTGTGCTGCTCTGGAACAAATGCAGATTCAGGTGAAGCAGACTCGTTGCAGATAGCAGCCATCTTGCCTTTAGAGGGACTACTGGCCTCAGCAGGAGCAGTAACATCCATGTCTTGGGTGTTGGCTGCAGGTCCATCCACATTCCTCTGATGGTCTGGAGACACTTCTGCCAGGGGTTTTCCCTCCAAGTCTGCAGAGGATTCCGCCACAGCAGAAAGTGCCACAGCAGGTTGTTTGCAGAGCTCCTTCTCATTAGTAACACTCACCAGAGCCGGTGGGGCAGACATGTTGGAAGGCAGCTTGGTGTACTGGGATTTCTCCACCAGTACTGGCTTTGCTGGTCTGTACCTCCTCTGTCCATCCTCAGGGACTTCTGATGGATCATCAGAAAAACAAACCTGTCTGTCCTCAGGGGTAACTCCATCTGCTGAATGAAAGTCAGAGTGCCATGTTCACTCTCAACCCCCTGGCTGGTTGCCACTGACAACTCCGCAGCCTGGCATGGTGGGGGAGGCACAGAGGTAGATGGATCCGGGTCGTCTGTTCCCTGAGGCTGTTGATCCACAGAACTCGCCAATGTGTGACTGGCAAATCTCTTTTCATTATCAAACTTCTTTGCAAAAGCTCCACTTCTGGCTTTCAACTTTTCCAATAATAAAGATTGCTTCTGCTACCTTTTCCTCCATCTGAGGCAACTCTGGCTTCATGGCTAATTAATTGTTACTCCAGGCCTGGCCGTATTTGGCTCTGAAAGATTTGTGTTCAGCCTTTAAAATGTAAGTTTTTCCTCCACTCTACCAATCGCCAAAAAACGATTGATAATCCTCTGTCTGAAGACATCCGCATCCTCACCAGGGCCTGGACCCACAGTCAGGTCCTCCACCTCCTCCTCACTAGGCCCTGTGTCATCAGGGGGATCCCTCCCAGTGCCTCCCCCAGGGTCAGGCATTGTTCCTGGACCAAGCTTGAAAATACTGGTTCTCAGAGAGAGCTCCTTCAGTGTGTTCTCCTACTGACCACCCCTGGCTCTTTTCCATTAATCACTAATGTAAGCTGTTTTTTCCATTGGCCACCAATATATGTAGGCTCTTCTCCATTCACCACCAATCTAAGAGGGCTTATCTGCAAACCATCAATCTAAGGGTGCTTATCTCCATTATACACTATAAGGGGGTTCGTTTCAATTGACCATCAGTCTAAGAGGGCTTTTCTCCATTGACCTCCAATCTAAGGGTCTCTCTTTTCCGTTGACCTTCAATCGAGGAGAGCTCTTCTCCATTGACCAACAATCTAAGGGGGGCTCTTCTCCATTGACCACCAGTCTGAAGGGGCTTTTCTCCATTGATCACCAATGTGGGGAGGAAGGGGGGCACTTTTCCACTGACTATCAATGTAAGAGGGTTCTTCCCTATTGACCACCAATCTAAGTGAGCTCTTCTCCATTGACCACCAATCTAAGGGAACTCTTCTCCACTAACCACCAATTTAAGGGGCTTTTCTCAAACGACCAACAAATGACCAAGAGAGTTCTGTGATGACCACCAATCTAAGTGAGCTTTTCTCCATTGAAAACCAATCTAAGGAGGCTCTTCTCCACTGATCACCAATCTAAGAGGGATAATCTCCATAACCATATATATCAATATAATGGTGCTTATCTCCATTGAACACCAATCTAAGAGGACTCTTTTCCATTGACCATGAATCTAAGAGGGCTCTTCTCCATTGACCATGAATCTAAAAGGGCTCTTCCCCATTGACAACCAATCTAAGGGGGGTCAGTTCCATTGACCATGAATCTAAGAGGACTCTTCCCCATTGACCACCAATCTAAGGGGGCTCTTCTCCATTGACAACCAGACTGAGGGGGCTTTTCTCCATTCCAATCACCAATGTGTGTGTGGGCAGGGGGGCTTTTCCACTATCAATGTAAGAAGGCCTCTTCCCTATTGACCACCAATCTAAGCAAGCTCTTCTCCATGACCACCAATCTAAGGGAACTCTTCTCTACTAACTGTCAATTTAAGGGGGCTTTTCTCAAATGACCAACAATCTAAGAGAGCTTGCTGTTGACCACCAATCTAAGCGAGCCTTTCTCCATTGACCACCAATCTAAGGGGGCTCTTCTCCATTGACCACCAATGTAAGAGGGCTCTTCTCCATTGACCACCAATGTAAGGAGGCTCTTCTCCATTGACCACCAATGTAAGAGGGCTCTTCTCCATTGACCACCAATGTAAGAGGGCTCTTCTCCATTGACCACCAATGTAAGAGGGCTCTTCTCCATTGACCACCAATGTAAGAGGGCTCTTCTCCATTGACCACCAATGTAAGAGGGCTCTTCTCCATTGACCACCAATGTAAGAGGGCTCTTCTCCATTGACCACCAATGTAAGAGGGCTCTTCTCCATTGACCACCAATGTAAGAGGGCTCTTCTCCATTGACCACCAATGTAAGAGGGCTCTTCCCCATTGACCACCAATGTAAGAGGGCTCTTCTCCATTGACCACCAATGTAAGAGGGCTCTTCTCCATTGACCACCAATGTAAGACGGCTCTTCTCCATTGACCACCAATGTAAGAGGGCTTTTTTCCATTGACCACCAATGTAAGAGGGCTCTTTTCCATTGACCACCAATGTAAGAGGGCTCTTCTCCATTGACCACCAATGTAAGAGGGCTCTTCTCCATTGACCACCAATGTAAGAGGGCTCTTCTCCATTGACCACCAATGTAAGAGGGCTCTTCTCCATTGACCACCAATGTAAGAGGGCTCTTCTCCATTGACCACCAATGTAAGAGGGCTCTTCTCCATTGACCACCAATGTAAGAGGGTTCTTTTCCATTGACCACCAATGTAAGACTGCTCTTCTCCATTGACCACCAATGTAAGAGGGCTTTTTTCCATTGACCACAAATATAAGAGGGCTCTTCTCCATTGACCACCAATGTAAGAGGGCTTTTTTCCATTGACCACAAATGTAAGAGGGCTCTTCTCCATTGACCACCAATGTAAGAGGGCTCTTTTCCATTGACCACCTATTTTTCCTTTTTATTAGTTCCATTTCATCATTGTTGTTAATAATAAATCATGTTGCTGTATAGAGAAGTCCAAGGTGTCAGAGCTGCCATGTTCATCATATACTTTTATTAACAAAACTTTATTGTGGCCATACTGACGCTGAGACACACAAATCTCCTATTGGATATCTGACTTCCTGTCCTGGTGACAACACTGTGACCAGATCATGAACTGAGGGGAAATCTCCCACACTGGGCCACACGAGACAACAAGCCATTCTAGCAGTGCTCTTCCCCTCCTCCATGCAGAAGGAGAAGGAAGAGTCCTGGAAGGAGGAGGACTCACACAGGACATTCTGATAGGAACAATGACTATTCCAGGTAGGACTACAAGTCCCAGCATGGCAGGCAACCCCTGCCACACACAGCACACCCTGTGCACCTATCCCACCATATCCTGCGCACACCGCTGCTATAACAACTCGCAAGCCACCGCCTATTGGGCGCAGCGCACGCCGGGAAGTGTAGTCCGCCGGGGAAGAGCCGCCTCCATTCTGCTGGGCGGAGTCTGGCTGACCCGGAAGTGACGATTCTCCGCTGTGTTTGGGTTGTGACTAGGAGGAGGCCGCGATCGTGTGTGTACCGCTGTCTCTGGGTGACACAGGTATGAGGACGGCGGACACACCGGAGAGGGGAGGAGGGGACCGGGCTGAGATCTGAGAGGGGGAGGAAGAGCAACATGGGGGGATAGGGAGTGAGATGGGGGGAGGGAGGCAGGGAAGAGAGAGACACGGGGAGAAAGATAAAAATAAATGGGGGGAATAGGAAGAGGTGGGAGGGAGAAAGTAGAAGAGAAAAGAGTAGCATGGGGGGGGGGGGGGGGGGGGGGGGGTAGCATAAGGATAGGGGGGTGAGAGAGGAGGGGCATGGGGGGGGGGGGGGGAGAGAGACATAGGAAGATGTGGGAGGGGCATTGAAGTGGGGGACATAGGAGAGGGTCAGGAGAAGGAGGAGAGGGACATGGGAAGGAGAGAGAGAAGAGGGACATGGGAGGGGGGGGGCATTGGAGAGAGAGAGGAGAGGGACGAGAGAGAGAGGGTCATGGGAAGGGGGAGAGGGACATGGGAAGGAGGGGGGAGAGAGAGAGAGAGGGACGCGGGAAGGAGGGGGAGAGAGAGGAGAGGGACGAGGGGAAGGAGGGGGGGGGGAGAGAGGAGAGGGACGCGGGAAGGAGGGGGGGAGAGAGAGGAGAGGGACGCGGGAAGGAGGGGGAGAGAGAGGAGAGGGACGCGGGAAGGAGGGGGGGAGAGAGAGGAGAGGGACGCGGGAAGGAGGGGGGGAGAGAGAGGAGAGGGACGGACGCGGGGAGAGAGGGGAGGAGGGGGAGAGGGACGCGGGGAGGGGGGGGGGGAGAGAGGGGAGAGGGACGCGGGAAGGGGGGGGAGAGGGACGGGGGAAGGGGAGGGGGGGGAGAGGGACGCGGGAAGGGGGGGGAGAGAGAGGAGAGGGACGCGGGAAGGAGGGGGGGGGGGATAAGGAGAGAGGAGAGGGAAGGAGGGGAAGGAGGGGGGGGGGGAGAGAGGAGAGGGAAGCGGGAAGGAGGGGGGGGGGGGGGAGAGAGGAGAGGGAAGCGGGAAGGAGGGGGGGGGGAGAGAGAGGAGAGGGAGAGGGCGGGAAGGAGGGGGGGGGGGGAGAGAGAGGAGAGGGACGCGGGAAGGAGGGGGGGGGGAGAGAGAGGAGAGGGACGCGGGAAGGAGGGGGGGGGAGAGAGAGGAGAGGGACGCGGGGGGAAGGAGGGGGGGGGGGGAGAGAGAGGAGAGGGACGCGGGAAGGAGGGGGGGGGGGGGGGGGAGAGAGAGGAGAGGGACGGAGGGAAGGAGGGGGGGGGGAGAGAGGGGGAGAGGGAGGGCGGAAAGGAGGGGGGGGGGGGGAGAGAGAGGAGAGGGACGCGGGAAGGAGGGGGGGGAGAGGAGGGACGTGGGAAGGAGAGGGGGGAGAGGAGAGGAGAGGTACGCGGGGAAGGAGGGGGGGGGAGAGGGGGGGGAGGGACGGGGGGAAGGCGAGGGGGGGAGAGAGAGGAGAGGTACGTGGGGGGGGGAGAGGGACGCGAGGAGAGGGGGAGAGAGAGGAGAGGTACGTGGGGGGGGGGGGGGGGGGAGAGGAGAGGGACGCGGGAAGGAGAGGGGGGAGAGAGAGGAGAGGTACGTGGGGGGGGAGGATAGGTACGTGGGGAGGGGGGAGAGAAGAGGGACGTGGGAAGGGGGAGACAGAGGAGAGGGGGAGACAGAGGAGGGGACATGGAGGGGGGGGAGACAGGAGGAGAAGGACATGGGGAGGAGGAGACAGAGGAGAGGGACATGGGAGGGGGGGGGGGGGAGAGGGAGGGACATGGGGAGGGGGAGAGAGAGGGACATGGGGAGGAGGAGACAGAGGAGAGGGACATGGGGGAGGGGGGGGAGAGAGGGACATGGGGAGGGGGAGAGAGAGGGACATGGGAAGGGGGGAGGGGGAGACAGAGGAGAGGGACATGAGAGGAGGGGAGCGTAGGGAGGCAGTGAGAGTGGCATGGGGGGAGGGGAGGGGCATCAGAAGGGAGAGGGGCATGGGGGGGGAGGGGGGGTGAGAGAAAGGAGTGATAGAGGGGGAGAGAGAGAGAGAAGAAGGGCATGGGGGGAAGAGGGGGAGGAGAAGGACATAGGGTGAGGTGGGAGAGGGGCATTGATGAATGGGGGGACATAGGAGTGGGGCATGGGAATAGGGGGGAGGAGAGAGACATGGGAGATGGGCATGGTGAGAGGGGGAGAGAAAAGAGTGGCATAGGGGAGGGGAGGAGAGAGAGAGAAGAGGAAAGAGAGGCATGGGGGGGGGGGGGGGAGAGGGACATAGGGAGGAAGAAGGTGGGGGGGGGTGAGGGAGAGATTAGGTTAAAGATAGAGGAGAAAGAGAAAGGAGAGGGAGGAGCGGCATGGAAAAAGATGAGAAGATGGAGGGGAAGAGGAAGGAGGGGCATGGGAAGAGATGAGAAGATGAAGGGGGAGAGGAAAGGAGGGGCATGGGAAGAGGTGAGAGGGGGGGCATGGGAAGAGGTGGGAGGGGGGGCATGGGAAGAGGTGAGAGAGGGTGGGGGGGGAGATACAGGAGGGGCATGGGAAGAGGTGAGAGGGGCATGGGAGAGGGAGAGAGAGAGAGCGAGGAGAGGGACATAGGGAGGGGGGTAGTGAGAGGAGAGGGACATAGTGAGGGGGGGGGGTAGTGAGAGGAGAGGGGCATAGGGAGAGGGGGGGAGAGAGAGAAGAGGGGAATAGGGTAGAGAGGGGAGAAAGACATGGGGAGAGTGGGGGAGAGAGAGAGAGAGGAGAGGGGCCTGGGAAGGGGGGGGAGAGGGGGTATGGTGGGGAAAGAGAGAGAGAGAGGAGGGGGGGTATAGGGATTGGGGGGGGAAGAGAGGAGAGGGGGGGGGGCATAGGGAGAGGTGGAAAGGGGGGAAAAAGGTAGAGAGAGGAGAGTAGCACAAAGAAAGGGGGGGAGAGAGGGAGACAGGAGGAGAAGGGCATGGGGGGGGAGAGAGAGGGGGGGAGGGGGGAGAAAGGAGGAGAGGGACATAGGAGAGAGAGGAGAGTGTCGTAAGGAGGAGGGAGAGGGGGTGGGAAGAGAGACGAAGGGGGTGGGGGCAGAGATGGGAGAGGGAACTAGGGGAGAGGAAAGGTTCTTAGGGAAAGGGGGGGGGGAGGAGAAGAGAGAGGAGAGTAGCACACAAAGAAAGGGGGGGGGAGAGAGAGGGAGACAGAAGAAGGGCATGGGGGGGAGAGAGAGGTGAGGGGGGAGAAAGGAGGAGAGGGACATAGGGGAGAGAGGAGAGTGTCGTAAGGAGGAGAGAGAGAGGAGAGGGTGGAAAGAGAGACGAAGGGTGGGGGGCAGAGATGGGAGAGGGAACTAGGGGAGAGGAAAGGTTCTTAGGGAAAGGGGGGGGGGAGGAAGAGAGAGGAGAGTAGCACAAAGAAGGGGGGGGGGGGGAGAGAGGGAGACAGAAGAAGGGCATGGGGGGGGAGAGAGAGGTGAGGGGGGAGAAAGGAGGAGAGGGACATAGGGGAGAGAGGAGAGTGTCGTAAGGAGGGAGAGAGAGAGGAGAGGGTGGAAAGAGAGACGAAGGGTGGGGGGCAGAGATGGGAGAGGGAACTAGGGGAGAGGAGAGGTTCTTAGGGAAAGGGGGGGAGGAAGAGAGAGAGAGGAGAGGAGCATAAAGTGGGGGAGAGAGAGGAGAGTGGCATGGGGGGAGGGGGAGAGGAGTATAGGAGGGGATGAGATCAGTTGTAGATGGATTGGTTTCTATGTACACCAGCATAGTTTTCCTAGGGCACACTTTTCTCTAGTTCTTTCAGAAACTGCAGAAGGTGAGATGATAGTCTGCAGGTAGACAGGAGATGGGTGACACACCTGAGAGGAGAATGGTTGTAGGCAGAAGATGAGTGACACATTAGAGAAGACTGGATGTCACAGGGAGGTAGAAGGAAATCCGGGGCAGAGGATCAAAATGTTATTGGAAATGATGATGAGAACAGAAGGGAGACAGAGCTGGGACAGGTGACTGGATGCTGGATGGGCAGATTGATGGTTGGTTTTTGATATAGGTGACTAAAGGTTTGTACACAGGGGATAGGTGTGCATAATATAGGGAACTGGAAGGGGGGCGATCTTACACCTCAGACAGGTGACAGAGAGGGGCAAGTGGCAAAATTCTGTTTTTATGTGGAAATGAGATAAAAGATAGTAATGTGAAAATGGGGCAAATATAAGAGGTTTGACTGTAGAGATCTGACAGGTGCAAAAACTGGCAAGATTAGACGGATGATAGTGATGTTGTTGTATAAGATGAGACAGATGGCTGTAGAAATTCAACAAGTGGTAGACATCTGACTGTACAAATAAGAAGGGATGTGGGATAGACATGTGACTGTGGAGCAGAGATGTGACAGATATCAGCCTCTTGGGGGTGACTTTTTTTGCAGACACAAGTCAGGCAGTAGATGGTGGATAACAGATCATCACAGTAACAGTATATGACAGATGAGAGACACCATGGGTGACAGATGACCGCACTAGGCAAAAGTTTACAGGTAAGATATATTTGATGGATGACTGGCATGATTAGGACAGCCGATAGATGATGTGAGTTATTAGTAAGGGACGGTTCACACCAGATGCAGTCCAGTGCGTTTTTTTTTTCTTCTCAGCATTAAAAATGCATGCACAAGGTTTTCCATGTATTCCACTGACCCTAGTTCACACCATTGCAGTCAGTTGCAGGTGCAGGAAAAAAGTAGAATTTGCTGCATTTGTTTCTGCACAGAACTGTACTGGAACACAGCAAAACACATAAAAAATACACTGGAACAGAGTGTGGTGTGAACTGTTTGAAAAAATGTATACGGAACGTATGATGGATGACAGGTGATGGAATATTAAGAAATAGGTGAGATGAATGATGGATGACAGGTGTGGTAAGTGAGGCAGACTGTGAATAATGAGACATAAGTGAGGGGCAATGATGGATGACAGGTGTACCCTGTGGTGTATTTAGGTTTTGTGCTGCCCTAGAAAACACAAAAATTGCCCCCCCCACCCCCCGTGGATAAAGCCTGACAATGAGAACACCCCTGCCCCACC